ACAATGGTAAGTATTTCTGTATCTAAATCTATCTAAACATGGAAAAGATACAGTGAAAATGTGGTATAAAAAATTAGCACCTAAGCCGGGCATGGTGGCTCACGCCTATAATCCCAGCACTTTGGGAGGCTGAGTTGGGTGGATCTCCCGATGATGGGAGTACGAGGCTAGCCTGACCAACACGGAGAAACCCCATCTCTACTAAAAATACAAAAAAAATCAGCCGGGTGTGGTGGTGCATGACTAATCCCAGCTACTCGGGAGGCTGAGGCAGGAGAATTGCTTGAACCCAGGAGGCAGAGGTTGTGGCGAGCCGAGATTGTACCATTGCACTCCAGCCCGGGCAACAAGAGTGAAACTCCATCTCAAAAAAAAAAAAAAAAAAGATTAGCACCTGAATAAGGCACTTACCATGAATGGAACTTGCAGGATTGTAAGTTGCCTGGTGTGCATCAGTGAGTGGTGAGTGAATGTGAAGGTCTAGGACATTGCTGTACATGACTGCAGACTTTTTTTGTTGTTGTTGATGAGACTGAGTCTCACTCTATTGCCCAGGCTGGAGTGCAGTGGCATGATGTTGGCTCACTGCAACTTCCACCTCCCGGGTTCCAGTGATTCTCCTGCCTCAGCCTCCCGAGCAGCTGGGGTTACAGGCACCCCCCACCACGCCTGGCTAATTTTTGTACTTTCAGCAGAGATAGGGTTTCGCCGTGTTGGCCAGGCTGGTCTCGAACTCCTGACCTCAAGTGATCCACCCGCCTGGGCCTCTCAAAGTGCTGGGATTACAGGTGTGAGCCATCGTGCCCAGCCCAAAGTAACTTTTGTTTCAAAAACCAATTCTCCCTCCGATGCATTGTGGCCATCAAGTTTGGAGTTGTTGGGTTTCTACAGCTCTAAACCGGAAACACCTCAGACCCAATGAAGACAAAAGCATCCCTGTCCTGATTCTATTATAACATTTTCTTGTGTGCCCTGGGGCCCCATCCTAGTGCCCAAGACACCAACTTTCTGAGCTTTCTGAGAGCAAGACCTTGTTGGTCTTTCTGTATACCAAGGTCTTAGTACAGTATCTAGAACCCTAGAACAGTGTCTAGAAACTCATGTGTGTGTGTGTATAAGTGTATTGAATGAATCAATGAATGAACGTCTGTGTGAAGGCCACAGGGTATTTCAGACAGAGCCCTAAAGTATGTGTCCCCTGGTCAGATCACCAGATCTTGAGGATCCCAGGAACTGTCCCAGCTTTGTAGGTACAAAAGTCTGACTTATGAATACACCCAAGAAATGGCCATAGATGAGTGGACCAGCTTATGGCAACCATAGTTATTAGCGTGTACAGCAGAAAGTCAAATTATAAATTATACCTTTGCAACTACAGGCATATGAAAATGTACTGTTCCCAGCATTCATTGGCCAGATGATTCTGCCTGGCAGCCATCTCTTCATAGAACCTCCTAGAATAATCAAAGGGTTCCACGAAAGCCTGGACTTTTCCATTTCAAGGGCCCTTTTGCAATTTGACTTTGACACTTCTCCCCTCAACAGGTAGAATAGAATTTTCCTCCATTTGAATCTAGGTGGGTGCTGTGTGTGTCTTGCATTGACTTCTGGGCCTAATTCTTCAGAAGCACTGCAATTTCACTTCCTCCTCCTGGAGGCTGACCACCATTCAAAGAAGCTCAGTCTGACTCCTGAATGTGGACAGTCTACATGGATGAAGAGGCAATGGGAAATGAACCAAAGCACACCCAGCAGAGCCATTACCCAGGACCCACACCTGTGAGTGGGGCCATGTCAAAGGTTCCACTCCCATTGAGCCACCCAGCAGCCACTGCAAGGAGCAGAGAACTGTGAGCAACAAAAGAACTGAAGGTTATTTCAAGCCACAAGTTGCCCATATACAAAATGAATAACAAAAAGAGACTCAAAGCAAGAGGAAGTGGCTGGATTATATTAATTGTTGATATCACTGACTTCTGAAAGTCTGTCACCTCGATTTCCACTTTCTCTGCTGTCCCAATGGTCAGGCTACCTCTACTCCAGCAAGTCCAGAGACACTTTTCTGTTTCAGACTCTCTGAACTGTCCTTTTGGAGGTACCAATCAAACCAATCGCCTTCAGAAAACACATTCATTGTTGTCTTGATTGAATTTTAGGCCCTGCTTAGTTGTAAATTGAAAACCTCGTTTAAGCTACTGGCTTGCTTCTAATTTCCTGGTATTTATTGTCTGCCACAAGCCAGACTCTGTCCTAGCAGATAATGATACAGCAGAGGACCAGATAGACAAATCCCAGGCTCATGAAATTTACATTCCAGTATAACCTCAGATTGAAGAAGTACTAGCTATTGTCTTCATATACCAGGAATAAAAATATGACCCAGAGTGTAAGCGCAGAAAGGTACACTGGGCCCTAGAAACAACCTGAATACCATCCAGCCCTCGGAATTTTATATAAGTAGATAACCAAAAGTGATTCCTCCTATAATTTTGAGATAAGTAGTTTGAGATTACCCAATGGATAGACGTGAACATACGGCACCAATAAAATAGAGGAACCAATGTTTTGTGTGTGTGTGAAATTTGATATATATTTTTAAAAGGATCAAAGCACTCATCGCAGGAAAAAAATCTGTGTTCTATTGCACTACACTTTTAAAAAGCAGTTTTAATAATTTTTTTTTTTTTAAGGAGCATCTCGTTCTGTCAGCCAGGCTGGAGTAAAGTGGTATGATCACAGCTCACTGCAGCTTCAAACCCCTGGGTTCATGTGATCCTCCTGTCTCAGCTTACAGAGTAGCTGGGACAAGAGGTGCGTGCCACCATGTCCAGCTAATTTTTATTTATTTATTTTTAAATTTTTTAGTCTTTTTTGGTAGAGATGAGGTCTTGCTTTGTTGCCAGAGCTGGTTTGTTTGTTTGTTTGTTTTTGAGATGGAGTCTCCCTCTGTCGCCCAGGCTGGAGTGCAATGGCACGATCTTGGCTCACTGCAACCTCCGCCTCTGGGGGTTCAAGTGATTCTCCTGCCTCAGCCTCCCCAGTAGCTGGGATTACAGGCACATGCAACCACTCCCAGCTAATTTTTGTGTTTTTAGTAGAGACGGGGTTTCGCCATGTTGGCCAGGCTGGTCTCGAACTCCTGACCTCAGGTGATCCACCCGCCTCAGCCTCCCAAAATGCTGGGAGGTGTAAGCCACCATGCCTGGCCACAGAGCAGGTTTTGAACTACTAGCCTGAAGCTATTCTCCCGCCTTGGCCTCCCAAAATGCTGGGATTACAGATATGAGCCACGGTGCCCAACCCTTAAGCAGCTTTTAAAAACTATCGTTTTTACTTTGAATACTTATGGAGATGGTGGTACGATCATCTTCTCAGTTTGTAAAGTCCTCTAACTGTGTAAAGTAGATCTGAAGTGTTTTCCTGACCCTCACTGGGATGGTTATTTCAAGTACAAAATGTTTTCACACAGTGGGTGGTAATCTTTCATAAAAAATTTCATATTTGAATGAAAACAGCTCAAGAAATACACTAATGAGCAAAAATATATGGGGAAAGAGGGACGTGTAGTTTTGACTTAACTGAAGAAACCAAGAGGAAACTGGTCTACATATGAAAATGTGATCCTGGAAAGTCAGGTGTCAAGAATTTCGAGTAGGAATCTATATGACTTGAATCTCCCCTACTTCCTGAATAAAAGTGACATTTTTCAGTATTTATTTAAAAAAAAAATCATATTTCAGTGAAGCTTCCAGGTAAACTATCTTAAAAAAATCATATGTGAGTGGACCTTCCACGTAAATTATCTCCCTAAGGGAGCTCCCTGTATTTCTAGCGACTTTAACTGAAATTCCTTTCAGGGAGAAATCCTCATTAGCCACCTAAGAGGGGATTAGGTGTTTTTTTCAAAGAGCTGGTATTGGAACATCTATCTCTCTGATGTCCCTGGTCAGCTATATTGTATATGAGTTGAAACATCTTGTATTTTAATTTTCTATCATTTACTGGGTGCCTCTTCTGTGACAGAGCCACTCAAAGGGCTACTGCTATATTATCAGGTGACTGAATTCTAAATATATTCTGAAGCAGGAGATACTGTTATTGCTGTTATTACTCACGTTTTAGAGATAAGAAAGCTGAGGCTCTGAGAGGTCAAGATCACGCAGCTAACGAATGAGCCAAGACTCTCTTGCTTTAGAGCTTGTCCTCTACTCTTGCTTTTCTTTCCAGAAAACACTACATTTTTTGTTTGTTTCCTTTTGTTTTGTTTTGAGACAGGCTCTCGCTGTCACCCAGGCTGCAGTGCAGTGGCGCGATTTTGACTCACCGCAACCTCCGCCTCCCGGGCTTAAGCGATTCTCCTGCCTCAGCCTCCCTGGACTACTGGCGCGCGCCACCACGTAAAAATGATCATGTTCTAACACGTATGCATACGAATTACAATGGAAACAAAATCAGCAAAAGCGCCTTTTATGCTAATGCTCAATACAATTGATCTCCTCACATTTAATCCTCACAACCACTACAATCACCTCAAACTCAAACTCTAAGCAGCTGACGTGCCCTGAGGGCACAGCTCTTATCTGGTGGGAACAGGCGCCATCTCAGCGGAACTCCTAAGACCCGCCTTCCACAGAAACGCCTTTCCTGACACGGTGCTTCCGGAAGTCCCGCCCCAGGAGAAAAACAGCTTCCGGAAAAAATGGAGGCCAGGAAACCGGAACAGACCGGGGCCGCTTGAGACGCTCTAGTATTCCTCTACTCTATGGCCGCTGACAATTGACAAGGCCCGAGCAGTAAGACTCCTTTCTATTGGATGAGCAGCCTCGCGTAGGCGGGCAGCTCGGTGCACGGCGCGCTGACTGGCTGAATCTGCCATGCGGAGCGGCTGTGCGGTGCGTGGGACGCGCGGACTGAGGTGACCGGCGGCTTTTCTTAGTGTTAGTGAAGACGGGCGCATGTGGGCGCTTTGCTCGCTGTTGCGGTCCGCGGCTGGACGCACCATGTCGCAGGGACGCACCATATCGCAGGGATCCGCCCGCCGCCAGCGGCCGCCCAAGGACCCGCTGCGGCACCTGCGCACGCGAGAGAACTGTCTCTTATACACATCTGGACGCACCATATCGCAGGGATCCGCCCGCCGCCAGCGGCCGCCCAAGGACCCGCTGCGGCACCTGCGCACGCGAGAGAAGCGCGGCCCGTCGGGGTCCTTCGGCGGCGCGAACACCGTGTACCTGCAGGTGGTGGCAGTGGGCAGCCGGGACGCGGGCGCCGCGCTCTACGTCTTCTCCGAGTTCAACCGGTCGGTGTGCCGCGCCTGGGGTTCCCTCAACGAGCCACGCCCCGTCCCGCCGGGCCCTCAGTGCGGTGCAGCCTCTGAGCATCGGGGCACCTCCCAGGGCTTCGGCTTCCCTACTTCACAAATGTGGTTCACTGTAGCGGGGGTTCGTAAAGTTATGGTGGGTGGGAAATCCCAGATTCTTTGCATCTGTGTGATTTCTGGGGATCTGTGAAGAACTTCAGACTTGGGTGAGAGCGTCCTCTTCCCAGCCCTAGGGCCCGGCGTGGCTGTCAGCACTTTCGGAGCTCCACCCTCTTCCTTGCACCCCAAGGTCTTTGTTAGCGTGTGGAGTGGACAGATATGGTGTGTAGCCAGTGATGGGGAAAGAACCCGTTTTGTCCCAGCACCCACACACACGGGCCCCCACTCCCCTCCACCTCTCCTATGGAGGACTCAAAACCCACCATCCTAATAGCAGAAATGTGGTTCGGTAGTCCAACATGGACTTTTAATTTTTTTTTTCTTTTTTTTTTTTTTTCCAGCGTCTACCATAAAGCAACTAATTGGTGTCAGTTTACAGAATAAAACCTTCTGAATGTCTTGTGTAATGTTTGTCTTGTAGATACCTCTTCAACTGTGGAGAAGGCGTTCAGAGACTCATGCAGGAGCACAAGTGAGTCAGTCTCTTGCTTTTGGAGGGGGAGTTGATTACGGGGCTTGAAAGCTGAAATGAGAGGCCAGGTGTTTTTTATAGCAAAAGTGGTCCTTGTTCTGTTCATGTTATCCTGTTTAAATGCTTTCTCATTCTTAGGTTGAAAGTTGCTCGCCTGGATAACATATTCCTGACTCGAATGCACTGGTCTAATGTTGGTGGCTTAAGTGGTGAGTATATTCTTTGCATTGTCAGAGGCTGGTGGGAAGTCTCCGGGAATTTAACCTGCTTGACTGTTTTTCCGCGTCTGGGGTGGGGTGGGCAGCTAGACTTTTTTTTTTTTTTGTCAGTGGCGTGATCTTGGCTCACTGCAACCTCTGCCTCCTGGGCTCAGGTGATCCCCTCACCTCAGCCTCCCAAATCGTTGGGACCACAGGCCCGCCCCACCACACCTGGCTAATTTTTTTTTGTATTTTTTGTAGCGACTGCGTTTTGCCATGTTGCCCAGGCTGGTCTCAAACTTCTGGGTTCAAGCAATCCTCCTGCCTTGGCCTCCCAAAGTGCTGGGATTATAGGCATGAGCCACCGCACCTGGGCTGGAATTCTTTTTATAGCAGCCGAGTCAGCTGCAGCACAGAGCATTAAAAGCTGTGACTCAGAAGAACAGATTTTAATATGGATACCCCTTCTAAGTGTTACCATCCACTTAGTTTCTTGGGTTGTGGGGCCAGAGATTTGTGGCAGTAAACTGGAGAGTCTAGTGGTGGTGATTATAGTTAATATGTTTACCGTAGACGCCATTGGCAGCCGCACGCATACCCACTGTCCAGATTACCCTGTCATTTATGTCTCTCAACTAGAAGGTCAGGATTGTGATGCATCCAAATTCTGTGGGCTTGGTGGAATGTACAGGAAGGAGTGAAGTGTTAGACCAATCTCCCTTCTCAGGACTGAGACTAGGGTGAGGCATTTAGGGTGCCGCCCTTCACTTTCATGATTCCTTAAATTTTGCACACTGGATGCCTTGCTACTTCACCCTAGTAACAGTTCAGCCTATTCTAGAGGCATTTAAAGAATATTTGATGTCCGTTACACCTCTGGCTGGCATCACTTCTGCTCTGTACATCTTGCCTGGTGATACTTCCAAAGCTGGAAAGAGGAGATGTAGATAAATAGCTGGATTAGTATAGCGTGCTCCTCCTGTTAGTGACGACAGGTGAAGTTGATGAGAGATCTGATTTTATGCATCCTTTTTAGGAATGATTCTTACTTTAAAGGAAACCGGGCTTCCCAAGTGTGTACTTTCTGGACCTCCGCAACTGGTGAGTCTTTCCTGACACGTCTTTCAAAACCAACCTTTCCTTTTGTAATGTCAGTAACAAGAGTTTTCCTTTTTGCAAATCAGTCTTCTGCCCTCCAGAGATACCTGGTCGTTGAAACGCTTCCCCTTTCAGGTTAAAATGAGTTCAAAGCCTGATTAACTGTGTGACCTTAAACGAGTTACTTTACCTTTCTGAGCTTTAGTTTATTGATCTGTAAAATTACTATCATGTTTCGTAGAGTTGTTAAAGATTAAATGATGTAGCCCATATAAAGCACTAGATCGCTTTATTAGATTTGTTTGGCACCAAGTAGGCACACAAGAAAGGTCAGCTTTTGTTTTATTCAGTACATTTCTGACATCTTCTTACCTTTCAGACCAGCTTATTACACTCGTGGGAAGTCGTGTGTGTGTTGTTGAATGTAACAGTTCATTTTCCAGTTCTTGAGAAAAAAGTCACCAGGACCTGTTAAGTCTTTCCCCAAAATAACGTTTGAAATCCATCCATTTGTCTCTTATCGAGGCCTTCCTTATCTCTGTTTTCTGCACCTGTAAACTACAGTAGCCTCCCATATCCATTCTCGTCTTCCTGTAATCCATCTGCCTCACAGCAGCCAGAGAGTTCACATTAAGACAGAAAAGTGATGTTTCACTTGCCACCCTAAAGCCTTTCATGGGCTCCCCATTGCAATACAATCCAAAACACCTGATATGGCCTATAAGTCCTGTAGGCCCCAGCCCCTACCCTTACTTCCATCTGTACCCATCGCTGAGCTGTAGCTGCATGGGCTGACTCTTACACCCCTCTAACTGTCTTCTTCAGGACTTTCGCCCTTCCACAAGTTCCCTCTGCCTCTTCTAATTGCTGCCTGTGTTGTTACTGAACTTTCAGGGCTCAGCTAGAGGGTCATTTACTCCAGAACTGTCTCCTTCTCCAGACAAGTTGGATCCCGGCCCTCTGTATTTTTCATTTTCCTGGCAGAGCACTTAGCATACTGCCACTAAGCTGTTTGTGTTATCATGTTTCATTTTGTCTCCTCCACTGGCATGATTAGAGCAAGGACTCCATCTCTTTTTCCTGCTGTGTCCTTGGCATCTGACATAATGGATACTCAGTAAATATTTGTAGTAAATGATGTTCAAAATACTTACTAAGCTTTGTTTTATGTTGCTACCTATTGGTAACCTTTAAATACTTGAGTAGTTGCTGTGTTCTACTTTTGTTCAGCCATAACTGCTCATTTCTTTGTTTTTCATTAGGAAAAATACCTCGAAGCAATCAAAATATTTTCTGGTCCATTAAAAGGAATAGAACTGGGTATGTCTTTGTGACTCATTATCTGGTATTTCTAACTCATATATGCCCTGACCTCTCAAATTAGAATCCATTAAAAAATCAACATTAAATCTCAAAATCAAATGCTTCACCACCGTGAGAACTTTTTTTTTTTTTTAAATAGATGGAGTCTCACTCTCTCACCAGGCTGGAGTGCAGTGGCGCGATCTCAGCTCACTGCACCCTTCACCTCCTGGGTTCAAGGGATTCTCCCGCCTCAGCCTCCCGAGTAGCTGGGACTACAGGCGCGCACCATCACGCCCAGCTAATTTTTTGTATTTTTAGTAGAGACGGGGTTTCCCCATGTTGGCCAGGATGGTCTTGATCTCTTGACCTTGTGGTCTGCCCACCTCAGCCTCCCAAAGTGAGAAAGTGAGCTACCACGCCTGGCTGGAGATGTGTTTTTTAAATAGTGACATTTTCTGTGCTCCCACCTCATGCTGCAAAAATAGGGGCCAGGTCGGCAGCAGTGATTGAACAGCCGATGCATGCCTGTGTACATGCTGGGTAGCATCCTCCATCCAGACAGCAGGGCTCTGCCTCAGTTCCAGAGGTGCTTCTCGTCGTTGAGTTGCTTTGAGTTGGGGGCGGGGGTGACGAGGAGCTCCTAAAGGTTTTATGGCCAACTTTGTACATTGAAACGCAGCTCCAGCTGTGTAGCGGATGGGAAGACTCTTGATGGGAAGAGGCCTCACCGAGGATGCTAGCAGGGCCCTTGTCCTGGCACTGGTGCGCATCTGTGGCTTGTTAATACTCCTCTTTTATAGAAACACTAATACTTTGTTTCAAAATATACATCAGCTCTTCTGGTTGAGATGATGGGTTCCCTGGCTTCACAATTCTGTTTGTTAACTTGGGCCTCTGAAAGTCGAGTACTGGTTTCTTGTTTTTACATTTTTAACGGATCGTCACCAATGATTGTAATGTCTTTTCATCTGGCTGTAGTAAATATAAATGGCTGACCAAAATACACTTCTATTTATTTCCTAACAATGGTAATCTCCTTAGAAAGTCTGGTTTTCATGTCAGATTCCCACCATAATTCTGAGGCAGTTCAGTTGCTCAGTGGTTGGTGATCCTGGCAATTACTCTTCCCACACATCTTCACTGATGCAATCGCTTTGCTGTTGTGTGCTTTTCTTGTAGCTGTGCGGCCCCACTCTGCCCCCGAATACAAGGATGAAACCATGACAGTTTACCAGATCCCCATACACAGTGAGTATGAAAGCCAGGTTTCCCAGGAGGAGGGTGTAGGTCCGAGTAAGGAAAACATGGGTGAACATAGAAACTGAACACTTGCTTTGGGCACCCTGTTTTGTGTTCTGAGCATGATTAGAAACTTCAGCTGAGGAATTAAGGTATGGCCCCTGCCCTTAAGGAGCTTATAATCTTACGGATAAGCACATCTAACTCATGCCTAATGTTAGTGATTTTGCTTTGGAATATTAGGTAATCAGGCACTCTCAGTAAATAGATTGCATTCAGGTTTGCACATTCATCGCTTGGAGGTTTTTTCCCACAGGCGTAAGTACTCTCTTTTGATGAGAGGATCATGAAGAGGTTTGCACAGATAGATTTTTTAAAATAAATAATGATTACAGCAACTTACAAGGGGGTTAGAAGCTCCTACAAATTCTGAAGTACCAGGGCCAAATGATGTGGTCTTAGCTTAGGAAAAGAATTAGTCTTGTCCTTGAGCTTGGCTAAAGACATTCTTGTCTGGTTTTACTTATATATAAAGAGAGTACCAAGCAGTAGGGGTATTTCCTTGATAATACTAACTAATGTGATGCTTACCAAGTAGTGCTGATGGGTAACAGACCAGAGCACCCAGCAAAGGCCAGAGAAGTCCAGAACCTGGCGGAGATGAGGCTTATGCTGACTGAAGGCAGAAGGTAGCAGGGAGGGGAGGAATGAGTTAGAGCAATGGCACAGGTGCTCCTAGGCCAGTGCTGTGATGGGCTGATCAGCAGTCCCATTGACTGGCTCGCTCCTCCTGCTCAGATGCCTTCTCACACCTGAGGCCTGCTGTAGCCACCTCCAGCCTCAGTTGCATCCCTTTGTTCATTTCTAGCACCCTGTTCTCCGCTCCATTGCATGTGACAGGTAACTTTCACGTGTCACTTGCGTGATCGATGTTAACATGCTCAGTTTTGCTGACCATCGTTTTTTCAGTGCCTGGCAGCCCTCAATGAATGAACTTATGTTCATCGTCGTTGCAGCTGTGCTTTAGCTTCTTAGAGCAGCTAATTTTTTTCCCCTGATCTTGAGCCTTAACTAAATGTAAAACAAGGCTCCCTCTGGAGATAGGTACCCTTTAGGCCTATGTTTTTGAGTGGGAGTCATAATAAATACGCATGTCTACAACTCACATGCTGTTTATATAACACATTGTTGAGCTGGTACCATGGTCAAGGCTGTGAGCTAAGCAGAAACATAAAGATTAATGGACGTAAGTGCACCCCAGAAACCAGGTAGGAAATTAACTAGTTATTTCCTACTGTATAGTAAAAGGTGTGCTGATTTCATTGGCATTCTGGCATTCCCACATATAAACATCTGGGCCTCGACTCTCCGCTCACCTTGTGCAGTGTGTAATGTGGTGGTGTCTGTACTGACCAGGTGAACAGAGGAGTGGAAAGCACCAACCATGGCAGAGTCCAGAAAGGCCTCTCGGCAGGCTCAGTCCAGAGCAATCTTCAGACTCCGAGTCAAATGAGAATGAGCCGCACCTTCCCCGTGGTAATAGTATAAACAAAACAGAGCGGCGGAAAAGCTCGTGTTTTCTTAATTCTCTGCCTCGTAATGCTTGAAGAGAGTCATTATTATAAGAAAGCCACGTGTGTAAACAGATACTTCTTCCTGGGCTGCTTATGACTTGGCCCTTGGGGGGAATGAGAAGGGTTGTTGTAAAGGTGGCAGCCTGGAGCTTTAATAACAGCCAGTCCGCAGTTTTGGCCACAGGGTCTGGGTAGGCCCAAAACTGTTCTGTTTTCCCAGAGAACAGGGCCTGACAAACGATTCGTTTTGTATTTTTCATTAATGTAACTTTCATGCAAATTTTCCGTTTAATGTGGAAACTATAACTGCAAAGCCAATGAGATAGTCAAATCAGTGAGAGGATCTGCACCTCTTCTTCCAGAATGACAGCCCACTGGGAAATGGAGTTAAAAGTCCAAGTTTAGATTAACTCAGGAGTTGGGCTGCTTCAGGAGTTTGCTGTCCTTAACAGAAGACCAGCGCTGGCAAAGCTCGGCAGCTCCTCTTTCTGTCCTGAGGTCTTATCTAGTGACTGAGAACTGGCTGACCCCTATATGCTGTCCTTGTTTGGATGGCACTGGGTGAAGACTGACCCCAACATTTTCTCTGCAGGCCTTTGAACTTTTGTGTTATTTCACGTTATATGCGTTATAAAGCACATTACAATATGTTTTTCTCTCTCTTCTGCAGTCCTAGGTGAAATGTGTCATTTAAAAAACATTTCACTTGCCATTCTAAAGTTTTTCTGGCGAGAGTTTTGTGTTTTTCATTTACCCAAAAAACCTCCGCATAAGTAGGGGGAGAACAGTCTTCTTGAGTGTATTAGTGTCTTCAGCCTTTGTATTGGGACAGTAGTGTCCATTTAATTTTTATGCGAGGTGAAATTAGGTATCAGGTCGTAATCAGTTTGTGATGTCTTGACAACTTTCACATTTACCTTGTGATAATTAAATGTGTTTTTCCTCAGGTGTTAGCCAGAGAAGAGGGGTAAGGGACCCTTCCCTGGTGGTAGCTTTCATCTGTAAGGTAAGGGAGCTTTTCTGGAGGGCTGTACATGACTGGGGGCTTGGTCAGCAAACTCTGGTGTGCACTTTTTCAATAATTTGAGGGTAGCTGCTCCTGTTACCTGAGACAAGAAGAGATAGCAGATCTTCAAAAAAACTGATGGAAGTCCAGGTGCAGTGGCTCACGCCTGTAACCCCAGCACTTTGGGAGGCCAAGGAAGGTGGATCAGGTCAGGAGTTCGAGACCAGCCTGACCAACATGGTGAAACCCTGTCTCTACTAACAATACAAAAATTAGCTGGGTGTGGTGGCATGCACCTGTAATCCCAGCTAATTGAGAGGTCAAGGCAAGAGAATCGCTTGAACACAGGAGGAGGTTGCAGTGAGCTGAAACTGCACCATTGCACTGCAGCCTGGGTGACAGAGCAAGACTCCATCTCAAAGAAAAAAAAAAATTCTATAGAAATGATACTGGCAATGAGCCTGCAACAAGTATCACTACTGACCTTTCATAATTGTCATCACTTGTAGGTTTCAGAGTTTAGATGCCCTGTTTCTCAAAATAACCCCATACTTTTATTTCCTTTTAAATTTTTTTTTTTTTTTTTTTGAGACGGAGTCTTGCTCTGTCACCCAGGCTGGAGTGCAGTGGTGTGATCTTGGCTCACTGCAACCTCCACCTCCTGGGTTCAAGTGATTCTCCTGCCTCAGCCTCCCAAGTACCTAGGATTATAGGTGTATGCCACTACACCCAGCTAATTTTTGTATTTTTAGTAGAGACGGGGTTTCACTATGTTGGCCAGGCTGGTCTCACTCCTGACCTCAGGTGATCCACCCGCCTTGGCCTCCCAAAGTGCTGGGATTACAGGCGTGAAGTACCATGCCTGGTCCATATTCTTTTATATTTGCCAACGATTGGTCCTTTTAGAATTCAGAAATTATTGAAGGCAGCTGTGTTTGTTTTCCTTCAACTCCATCAGGCCTTTATTTGAAGTCAGTTTTAACTCTGTTGTACTTTATTTCATTCCCCTGCAATAGCTAAGGTCTAACATCAGATTGATTGGAATATTAGCTAGCATTCACAAAGGCCTAGATCTGTAACTCTGAAATTGGTCAGATCCCATTAAAAATTTTTGTTACAATAAGCTGTTTGTAAGATCCGACTGGTGGCTTATTTTTAATAGAATTACACATTAAAATTTTATCAATACAATTCGCAACAAATTTGTCTAAATATGTGAAAAGATTTCATTGCCTTTTTGTGGGATTAGATTATTTTTTAATGTTGATTTTGAAATATATTTGGAATTTTTATCTAAATTCTAAAACCTACAAGTGAAAATAATAATGAAAGTAAGTAGTAATTTTAGTGGCAAGATCATTGCTGGTATCATTTCTGTCGATTTATTTGAATAATGTGATTTTCCTAAAAGTTAAGTACTATTGTTAACAGGCTTATTACTTGTACGTTTTTGAGTTTTAGACAGCAAAATCATTTTTTAAAGTTTTAAAAATATTTTTGATAATCTATGTTTATACTGTTTTTTAAATTGTTTTCCATGGTAATCTTTAAATCATATTCCTGCTTTTTCCTGAATAGCTAACAGTGAGCATGATGAGAAGTGACAAGCTCACTTTTACACACCCGGGCAGTTGCCCTATTATCAGGCAGCCGTTCCTGGGGGCTGCCAGCTGCCTGACCTGGCTTTTCCATCTCCTTCCTCGCTGTCTTCTGCTGCTTCTGAGGGCTGCTGTCACTGGATTAGCCCGTAACCCCTTTCCCCTCTTGTAATTAATTTGCTGCTCTCAGGTGGGGTCTTGGAAAGCAATAAAGCTGAGCTAGGTCAAGTTCCAGGAGTCTCTTGGCATGAGGACCTGAGAAACTCATCTGATGGAAGACCCTGGCTTTAGGCAGCTGGTGCACTGTTGGGGCGTTGTTGGCTGCGTTCTGGCTCTCAGCAGCCTTCCAAATATCTGCATTCCTCAGAGAGGAACATATCTCCATGGGTTGAGTTCAGCTCTAGGGAGATGGGTTTCCCTGCCTTAAGTCTGCAAGTACCTTTTTTTTTCTTTCTTTCTTTTTTTTTTCATTTTTTGAGACGGAGTCTTGCTCTGTCACCCAGGCTGGAGTGCAGTGGTGTGATCTTGGCTCACTGCAACCTCTGCCTCCCGGGGTCAAGCAGTTCTCCTGCCTCAGCCTCCCGAGTAGCTGGGACTACAGGAGCACACCACCACGCCCAGCTAATTTTTGTATTTTTTTTAGTAGAGACAGGGTTTCACCATGTTGGCCAGGATGGTCTGGATCTCTTGACGTCCTGATCTGCCTGCCTTGGCCTCCCAAAGTGCTGGGATTACAGGCATGAGCCACCACGCCCAGCCTTTTGTTTTGTTTTGTTTTGTTTTGTTTTGTTTTGAGGTGGAGTCTCGCTCTGTCGCCCAGGCTGGAGTGCAGTGGCACGATCTTGGCTCACTGCAACCACCACTTTCCAGGTTCAAGCGATTCTCCCTAGTCAGCCTCCCAAGTAGCTGGGATTACAGGTGCTTGCCACTACGCCCAGCTAATTTTTTTTTGTATTTTTAGTAGAGACAGAGTTTCGCCATGTTGGCCAGTCTGGTCTCAAACTTCTCACCTTAGGTGATCTGCCAGCCTGGACCTCCCAAAGTGCTGGGATTACAGGCGTGAGCCACCACGCCTGGCCATGAGTAACTTTTTAACTTCAGGGAGTTAAAAGAAGATGCACATAGTTGATGAAGATTTATTTATTTTTTATTTTTTATTTTTTTATTTTTATTTATTTATTTTTTATTATTATTATACTTTAAGTTCTAGGGTACGTGTGCATAACGTGCAGGTTTGTTACATATGTATACTTGTGCCATGTT